TTTGGAACCTGTCCTGGAACTCGCTCTGTAGACCAGGCTGTCCTCAAACTCACAGAGATCCGCCTGCTTCTGCCTCCTGAGTGCTGAGATCAAAGGCGTGCACCATCACCGCCCACCTCCATATTTTAAAAAGTTTGCTTTCTTTTAGAACATCAAAGTAGCTGGAGCATATTGAAAGGTGAGAAAATAAGCATCTTATGAAATTTCTTTCAGGATAAAATATTTTACCAACATCATCATCAGAATTTTTTTTCCTAATGTGCCTGCTTGTTTATTTACTCTTTTTAGTCCTATACAAGTGTGTCCATCAACTCATTTCTGGATTTTTCAATTTTTCTTTTTTAAAGTGCCATTTGTTTCTCCTCACATCCATCTGCTGAGCCCCAGTGATGTTACTTGTCCACCTAATGTGCACTCCTTCTTTCTCCCTGCCTCTCTTCCTTTCATTCTTTCTGACCAGGTCTTAGGTAGTCCAGACTGGCCTTGAATTCACAGTGTATCTAAGGCTGAGCTGCCAGGCTTGATCATGCTACGCTGGGGATTGAACCCCTACAGAGAAGTGGAGACGGGAGAGTTTGCTGGAGCTCTAGGGCCAGATAGTCTACCAGATGCAACACAGCAGAAGAAACTAAAGACCTTATCTTCAAACAAGGAGGAAGGAGAGAATCAAATACTAAGATGCTGTCTTCTGACCTCTCCATTTGTACTGTGGCATATACATGACCAGACTCATACACACAATAAATTGATATAAAAACTTTTGTCCTCGCTGGGCAGTGGTGACACACGCCTTTAATCCTAGTACTTGGGAGGCAGAAGCAGGCAGACCTCTGTGAGTTCAAGGCCAGCCTGGTCTACAGAGCTAGTTTCAGGTCAGTTAGGTCTGTTACACAGAGAAACTCTCTTAAAAAACAAAAATAAACAAACAAAAAGTCACAAAAAACCAAAACCAAAAAACTTCTGTCTTCATAGCCTAGGCATCTGTCAGGAGGTTGTCATCAACAGAACAACTTTCTATTCCTATATCTGTAAATCTAGCTCTCCTGGCTGCCTGTGCAATCTCCTCCTTCAATGCTGCTTGCCTCATCTTCCCCTCGGAACAGGACCAACCCGACACTTGTAGGAGCACAGAACGTCCTCCCTTTCTGTTAGGTGTGTCCTGGAAAAATGCTGACCTCCAAGACTAGAGTTTCTAAATTATGTGCATTGTGAGACTGAGTGGAATTCTATTACCTCTTTCTCCCATCACTCTGGCCAATCTAAGTATGTCCAGGGAAAGAGTTCCGTGCACCACAAACTTCCCCTTGGTGGTAAGCACCACCATGCCTAAATTCTCACACAACAAGGACCATCCCCCACTAGACAGTTCTATAGCAATGCACATGGTGGTGGTGATGGGGTTGTGGAAAAGAGCCAGTTCTTCTGAGACACAACAGCCCCAAAGCAAGTGCTTTTGTGCTCAATGAAAGAGCTAGCAGGGTGTTTTACACTACATGTTTTTGGACCTTACAAAGAAAACAGACAAAAATAGCACCTGACTTTACACACAGCTCAATAATCTTCCTGTAATCTTTGATCTGGACAGCTTTTCTTTCTTTTTTGAAAAGATACTACATTTGTGTGTGTGTGTGTGTGTGTGTGTGTGTGTGTGTGTGTGTATAAGAATAGGCACACATGTGGAGGTCAGAGCACAAGTTGTCTCCATACTCTTGGAGATCAACTGAACTCCGGGTATCAGGATTGGTGGCCTTTACCAAGTCATCATCTTTTTTTTAAAGGCATATTTCATGTAGTCTATGTTGACCTTAACTATGTATATAGCAGAGGGAGACCTTGAACTTTATTTTGATCTTCTTGCCTCCACCTCCCTGAGTGCTTGAACTACAAGTGTGTGCCACTATGCTAAGACAGTGATGTTAAGGAGCAAAACAAGGTTTCCTCATGCTAGGCAAGCACTGAGTCCCTTTGATGAACTCTACATAATTAACTTGTAGACCCATCTCAATGATCATGGAGTCTCACAGAATAAAACCTCTGTCTCCTTACGTGCCAAATGTCCTTTCTCAGTGGCACAGACAAAAGAAGCCTATCCTGACTTCCTGATGTTCCCATTACATCAGGCAGGTCAGTGTGCTTGCTATTTTAACTATAGACCACCTCTGTTTCCAAAGGTAGAGAGAAGCCACAGGGACTTTCTTCCCAGATGAACCATTCTATCCTCCCCTCTAGGGTGTAGCCTTGCACCTGAGAAGCTGGGCACAACAAAAGTTGCACTCTAACGTCCACTTGTGTTCTGTGGTATGTGTGCCTCTCTCTCTCTCTCTCTCTCTCTCTCTCTCTCTCTCTCTCTCTCTCTCTCTCCACGCATTTTTTTTAAGGTAAGTAAAACCTGCCTAAAGGTAAGGTGATATCCATTGTCAAGTTATCAATTTCAAGTTCTAGGCTGTGGCTTAGAGGGCCACTGGAAGTGAAAAGCAAGGTCATCCAGGTTTCCTATGAAGATAAAAAAGTGTCAAGCCCCTATACGCATGAGTCACTTCCAAGCTAGAAGTATCTTATCTTGGCAAGCAGGTTCTATAAAACTGTGACCACACACATAACCAAGCATTATTTTCCCTTCACCCTAATTAGCTCTCCGATTCCTCTTCTTTGTTTACAGATATTTATTCTAAGTAAATACATGTGCCTGTGTGAGTATATGTGTGAGTACATGCACTGAGTACAGGTGCCCTTGGAGGCCAGAAAAGGGCATCACCCTGCAGATGAAAGGACAGGCAGTTTTGAGCAGCTGAGTGTGGGTGCTGGGAACTAAACTCGGGTTCTGTGAAATAGCAGTCAGTATACACTCTTAAACCCTGAGCCATGTCTCAGCCCCATCCTCCTCCTCATGTGTGTCTGCGTGTATCGGGGACAGCCCCAGGTGTGCATGTGTGCGGGACAGCCCCAGGTGTTAATTCTAAGTTGCTTATTTATTCAATTATCTTTGACTCGGGGCTTCACTATGTATCCAGAATGGCTGCAAACTCACAGAGATCTATTTTTCTGTCTCTGACCTCCAAGTGCTGGAATTAAAGGTGAGTACCACCATGCCTGGCAATACGAAGCTTTATTTTTTTTTTTTAATTTTTTAATTTTTATTTTTTTAGACAAGATTCACTGTAGCTTTGGAACCTGTCCTGGAACTAGCTCTTGTACATCAGGCTGGCCTCGAACTCACAGAGATCCGCCTGCCTCTGCCTCCCGAGTGCTGGGATTAAAGGCGTGCGCCACCACCGCTGGGCTATTTATTTATTTATTTAAACAAGTCCTAAGAATAAAACTCATGTTCTTATATTTGAAAGATAACTGAGCTCTTCTCAGTCATATGTATGTATTTGTCCTCCTTGAAGTCTGGTTGCTGAAGAATTTTGCAAATGAGTATCCATGCTTCTGCTTTCTGACCCTTACCCGAAGTAACTGAACTTACTAAGGAAATGGCTGGTTTCAGACGTGTGGGAGGAAAAGAATGCAATAGGTAGGGGTGGGGGCGGGGTAAGGAAATCAAGTATTCCCAAACTCTCCTGTGCTGCTCCCATCATCCTGACAGAAGACTCTCCCTTCACTATCACCAACACCACTGGTGATTTTCAAAGTACAGAGGATTCCAGTGTCACAACTCAGAGCGGAGCACAGTACAGATTTTACTGACCCATCCATTGTTGATACCATTAAACAAAGGAAAGGTTACAGAACTGGATGGTGTAAGCAATGGAGTATCGTTACCTCCCTATCTTACTATGCATTTTCAGTTCCTAAAAGATTATTTCCAAAAAAAAAAAAAAAATCCAAGCAGTCTATTTTGTAAAGGCTTGTAACAACAAAATTTGTACACAATTATAAAACCTGCTTACTTTCAGTTAGATAGAATTTGCTGAAAAACTGCTCAGGGCAGTTTGGATTAAAGCCAGCTATAAATGGCCACCTTTTGAGACTCAATATTAATCAAGAATGTGGAGACTCAGGCAGCATACACAAATGATCTGAGAATGTGGAATCCAATTATTTCAAAGATTTATAGGAAAATACTTTGGATTCCCCAAAGTCTGTCTCTAAAAGGAATCTTTAAAACATCAGACACTAACTTTCCTTTCTTTTCTAGAATCTGAACCCCAGTTTAGCTCTCTGCCCCGGAGAAAAGTCCCCAGTGGTCTTCTTCCCAACTGGAGTCAAAAAAAAAAAAAAAAAAGTCATGAAAATATCCAATGTCTTAAAGTGCTAAGCTACAGCAAGGGAAACCTACTTGAATACTTTGACTAGTTTTTTTTGGAGACAGTCTCTCTATGCTACTGCTGGGCTCAGCTTCCCAAACAGCATACAGTGATGATAGGTACCTACCACCACACCCGAACTGAAATCTATTTTTAAAAAAACACTTTAAGTCATTAATGCATTTCACAACTACCCCCAAACCACCAATCAGAAATTAGAAATTAACAAACTGACTCTGAATTTCTAAGCAAAGGTTAATATATAAGATTGATAAAGAAATCTGAAGGAATGAAAGCTACTCATTTTGTACTATGGAAATGCACCGACTTCACACACACACACACACACACACACACACACACACACACACACACACACGTCCACGGGAGTCCAACTACTGGAAACACAGTCCAGCTTCAGGCCTGCCTTCTAGCCCCCAGGCCTGGGAAGGCGGTGTTCAGGCTTCTGTCAAAAGGAGAAGGCCCATCTTACCATCTCAGTCACCACTATCATTAGCGCCAGCACAGGCTACGTGTGGGTTCAGGTGGTCAATGACTGAGTACCACATAATCTTTTCAAATAGAACACAGTCACACACACAGTCCTGGTCAGCTATACATCTGGCAAAACCGCAGATGTAGGAACTAGTTGTAAAGGTAGAATCTGCTAATTAGCCCAGAATGGGAAAAACATGTATCCAATGTACTTAATCCTCCCCACATAAAGAAAAACAATTCAACAACAAGTTCTCAGGTTAACAAAGAATATATTAAAACAGTTTACATTCTTTCCACAACTGCATAAAAAGCAGGCATCTTAAATAATTACAAGAAACAATGTGCTTTCCATACTTGCAAAAATTAATTACAATCAGAAAAACATTTACAAGAATATCTTTACTATCTAAAGATTTACAATGGTGAAAGACCTATTTATTGAACACCAAATATCTGCCTGCTGGCTGAAATAAACATCCTCTAAAAAACTGTTTACTGAATACAGTGATTAACATCTTTCATTATTTTGTTTCTTAGCATTTAAAATAGTTACATGAGTGGAAGGATAGTTTTTGACACCAAAATAAACTCTTTCAGTCTGACGTCCTTTAAGATACAGTATAAAAAGCAATAGAAAAACCACAACTGCATTATAAATGTTTTTGGTTCAAAATTTTATTTGAAATCTTATGTTTTATTCTAAACAAAAAAGGTGACAAACACTGGTAATTTGTAAAACCTAACAGATATGTAGACCCTACATTTAGATCAAAAATACTTTTTATTTATTTTTTTTACAACAATGTTATTTTATAAATTTTCAAAAATGTAGCATAGGTTCAAGTCCTGGGGCACTGTACTAGCAATGCCAGGATTGGAGATTATCGCTCTGTAGCTACACAGGAGATGACCATGCAGGGAGATGGTCCTAAGAAAAGTGACACTCCAAGGGGCTTAGAGGGAGAGACCAGACACTCGCCACATGGAATGAGTTCAATGGACAGCTACCTAGCCTGGCACTAGCTTCACTCATTAAAGGTGGACACTTTTAGTTCATCTTTAAAATGCATAGTTCAAAAGAGCAGATGGCAAGAATCAGTAACTGCAACCTAATTTTATTTCCCCTTCCTGAAAATTTAAGGAATGAAATAGGAAATGCAGACATATTTATGGATTTTCAATAGCCTTTTCAAGTGAAAGGATAAAGGTCAAAATTCCACGTATAGCTTCTAGAGTATATAAAGTCAATGACTATTTTATAAAAATGTTTGCTACCATGGGTGTAGGATGCTGGTGAGCAGACGGGTGGTGTCTCTGCTAGAGCACACCTTGAAAATGTGAAGACAGCATACAGCAAAAGTGAATAGGGAATTTCTCCTCCCCTAATTTTCTTTCCAGGTGTGTTCCTCCCTCGAGGGAGTGAAATCAGAAGTTTGCCTTTTGAATTACTCCACTGAACTTTGGATATCGCCTATGGAGAGAGTTTTAATTACAACCTACACGGAACAGAAAAAAAGAAGCTCAAACCCTAAGTACCAAATCAAGTTGCAAAAACTAATTTTGGACCTTTGCTAGTGTTTCAATACACATTCGCATGTCAGAGAGTGACTTCTCACTGCTATCCACGTCAATACTCCCACAGAAGTCCTCACATCAGACAGGCAGAAATGCGTATGTTGTGCAGACAGTTCTTGGAGAGCACACGGAAGCTACAACGTGGCACTTCCTCTAATCTCGGAAGGCCTAGAATGAAAGGTGGTCTAGGATGTGGTCAGGCTGTGCTGCGCTAACCTCATGATAGTACCGCCTACCCCAGCGACACCCGAGTTTCAAGCTGGCACAGACCATGTCAGTTCCAGAGCGCCAGCTGTGAGCCGCTGTGGTGCAGACGGCACACCAGAGTCCAGTGGTTTTACACTAATCTGTTGCTGCTGACTGCTGAGCACTCCACAGTCAGGCTTCCATTTCTTTGCCTTCCTTAGCATGTGACCATCACTGATTATACAAAGTGACTGACAGCTTATTTTATTAAAAAAAAAAAAAACTAAGTGTGACTATTGCTGATTTAAATTCTCACAATTTTCATAAAAAAGTTTCATAGGACCACAAAATACCAAATTTTTGTTTTATCAAGTGTCAGGATAATTTATTAAAGTTGGGGGTTTGTTTTTTTTCTTATTGCTAAGGTATTCTAAAATCTGACTCAATACTGCAAACAACTCCCTTTCTTCCTTGTATGTTTTTGGCCTTACAAACATGGCTAAGGGTTACTTCAAACTTAGGTGTCCAAAATAATAAATTAAAAAACCCCAAACCAAAAACCCAACAATACCCTAGTATCCCACTACCCAGAAAACAAAACCCTAAAACCTCAGTCAAGTGATTATAGCGATGCCTTGGAATGAGGAACCATGCATTTCAGCAACATTAACTCAACTTCAACAGTAACAGAATCAAAGCCCTGCTGGCCGAGGTCCAGAAGCACAATATTTCAGAGTTTGTTTCTGAAGTTGTTAGAACATTCCTAGCCAACATCAATTTATCCCAAATCTAAATTCAAACATAACAGTTTCCAACCTTTATTATTTTTTTAAAAAAAAAGTTGTCTTAGGACACAGTTCACAAAGCCAGGGGCTGCTGTTCTGTGACAGGTGAGAGGGGTAGGTCATTTAATTGTGTGTCTGCTCATGACTCCAAAGACTGAAAGCGGTCTTGAATGTCCTATGGCAGAGTTTGCACATGAACTGTCTTTTAAATGTGATTGCTGAAAGGGGAGGGGCGTGGTAGAAGAGGGTGTCTGACTCCTGGGGTGCAAACAGTTTCTCTGTGGCAGGGGTCGGAGTCTCAGGAAGGCCTGTGGGGCTGTCGGGCTCCAGGGGCTGGATCTTAGGCAAGGGCGGTGGAGGTGGCAGAGGTGGTGGTGAGGGGGAATTGGTGGGCACAGGACACACCTCAGCCTCTTTCTGTGCAGGCTCCTCTGTGGCCTGAGACATGTGGGACTGGAAGTGACTCCAGAGCCGGAAGTTGGTACGGAAGGCTTTGTGGCACACATGGCAGATGAAGGGCTTCACGGAACACAGCAGCTCCTGGTGTCGTTCCAGCTGCTTGTGTGCCGTGAACATCTTCCCGCATTTCTCGCAGGGCCACAGACCAGCCTCCTTGCTGGGACCAGCCTCCCTGGGAGCTGCACTGGCCTCAGGAGTCTCCTCCTCAGCCTCCTCCACAGGCTCCTCTTTGACTTGGACTTTCAGTTGCTTTGAAAGACTCAAGTCTTCAGGGAGGCAGGAGGAATCCTCAGAATCGAAGTTCACTTGCTCTGAAGAGTCACTAAACACTGTGTCCTCTTTTGGAGCAGTCACATGGTTTACCTTGCTAGGCTCAGACTGAGGCCTGGAAGCAGCTGCCACTTCACCATTGTGGTCCAGGGTAGGCAGGGAAATGTTCTCTGCTAAAGCCATGTTGTTCTGGTTGTGCACTTCCACCTGGTGCCGCCAGATGCTGAAGGAAGACTTGAAGGTGCGCATGCACTCCAGGCAGGTCAGCTTTTTGTACTCACACCTGTCTTCATGCTCCTGCTTCAGCGCTGGGGAGAAGAACCTGAGGCTGCAGAAAGGGCAAACGGTGGCATTCCGGCACAAGCGCTCGTGGTTGCCTTGCTCTAGAAGAGAAGAGAGCTTAGCATTACAGAGGCGGCACGGGAAAACCTCCTTGCTCTCTACCGCGCGTGCCAGAGCCTGCTCTTTTGGCTTAGCAGCTCTGCTCACTCCGAGGGGCCTCTCTCCCGGGTGCATCTTTATGTGCTGCTTATACTGAGAGAGAAAGCGGTACGCCTTGCCACAGTAGGCACAAATGTAGGCCCCCTTGCCTCGGGAGCGCAAGTTCCTCTTGATGACTTGCTGTGCTGGGGAGCTACTCTGTCCCTGGAAGCCAGGCTTGCTGCGCCTGAGCTTAATGACCAGGGCCTTCTTAATCTCCCTCTCTCTCACTATGTCAATCAGTTTCCTTTGGAATTTCTCATCCAACACTGCATGGGAACTAGAGGCTGGCGATGGGTTCTTCACTATGCCGTGTTGGGTCTGACAGTGTGTCCACACTTTGAAGTTGGTATGAAACCTCTTGTGACAGATGTCACAAGCGTAAGGCTTCTCTGGGTTATGGTACATGTTAACATGGCGGTGAAGACCCGCGGTTGATCTAAAAATCTTAAGGCAATGTTTGCATTTAAATTTTTTGTTTGGTCTCGTCCCCTCCAACTCACCAAACTCCTCTCTGTTTAATTCAGAATCTGGGAAGTTGCTGTCAAGGGAAGGAGGGCTCCTGCCCTCCTCACAGTTCTCTTCTGAGACAGAAGGCCCATGCTCATTTGCCCTTGTTTTCTTCAAGGGCGACCTTCTGTCTGTCTGGAACCTTCTTTTTGCTGGGAGTCTGCTAATGTCCCTCTGGTCTTCCTCTGTTTTGAGGGGCAGGTCTCTCGTAGTTGTTGCTGCATCTCCCACGGTGACCCGGATGATGTCTGAGGGGTCCGACAGAGGGCTGCTAGGCTCAGTCTTAATGCGCACCTCAGTCACAGGGGAGGTCCCCTCCCTGTCCGTTGACTGAGACGCACTGAAGGACCTGAGGCGATGAGGCTGGAGCACTTGAGGCCTGTCATCCAGGGTTTTTTTGTCACTGCCATCTTTTAAAGAGGACTGTTGAGACACTGCACAGAACACACTGCCTGGTGCCTCATTTGCTGCTGTGGATGATCCCTGGGACGACTTCAAATCTATGGAGGGGGAGTAGACAGGCACCTGGCTGTCCATAGACAGTGACCGCCTGAGGAGGCTTTTCACTAGCGGGCCACTTCTGTCAATGCTCTGGTTTGCAGAGGCGGGCCCACTGGATGGGACCACCAGGCCTAGCTTAGAGTAGTAGAGCAAGTTCCTATCCTCCCCCTGACTGCCTCCTTTGCTAGTCTCTTTTAAGAGATATGGAGTCTCTGATGAGCTACGAAGAGACAGAACAGGTGGCCGTGGTCTCTTCAGAGCCAGCTCTATAGCTTTCCCCTTGGGAAGCTGGCTGCTCACTCCTGGTTTATCATCCATGGCCTCCCTATCTTGTGAAGGCTTTGAGGGTAGGACTGCGTTTCTCTTAACCAAACTACCCCTGTTAGGATCATCCAAAGCCCCAGGTTGTTCCACAGACTTTGCATATACTGCAGCACTATCCTTCGGCCAACTCTTTTCATTTAAGGACAGGCTGTGAAGCTGCTCTGGCGGCTTGGCCACATGTGGCTTACTGGTGCTGGTCTTGACTGCACCACTCGGGGACGCCAGGGCAGCATGGCTGAGGTCCTGCACAGCTGGACCACTGGCTTTCCCTGGCACTTCGCTTCTGCCCTGACACACGATGACACTTCGCTTTTGAGAGCTGGTCTCGTCATCTTCCACCGGAACTCTTTTCCTGTTGGGACAGGCTGGAAAAGGAGCCTGAGGGGCTTTGGCAACGATGTTGGTCAGGAAGGAGATACCAAGGCTATACCCCAGTTCCTGCACAGCAGCAAGGCTGCCCTTCTCCACAAAAAGGGAGGAAGAGTAAATGTAGTTCAGAACGTTGTCAAAAGCATCAGGCTCACAGAAGTCCAGCTGAAAGACAGTCTGTGCCTCGTTCTCCTTATTCGTGAATAAACTCTGGAAGTACTCACTGCTGGCAGCCAAGACGTTCTTATGAGCTCGGAACTTCTGGTCCCCAACAATCAGGAGTACATCACATAGCTGTCCCTTAAGGCGCTCCTCATTGAGGGCGCTGAGCAGAGAGATGGCATGTGCTGGGTTGATGTAATGTAGCAGTCCCTCCATCCTGCAATTGATCTGGAAGACAGAAGGTGAGACCATCAGCATTTGTATTCCATGAAAGACCTGCTCGAACTTAATAGGTAGACACATAGGTGACACTTGAAAATGAGGTTTAACATTTAGGGTCCTTATCCATCTGATGCTTGGTTACATTTAGTTTATTCAAAAAATAAACTAAATTTGAATTGTCAAAATTCCTCAAGTCTATAATCCTACTTCAGTTTTTATTATCTTATATTTTGTTTTATAAGATATATACTTAAATGTAACATGACTGCCAAAAATTAATAGTAGATTGTGGACTTTTTAAAATGAACCTGGAAAGGGAATTACTTGCTAATTACTAGGTAAGACTGTTCAATGAAGGTTAGACACATTAGAAAATTAAAAGGTTGTTTTCTTTCTTACACTAATTGCTTGCGATTTTTTAAATGCTATTTTCTCACTAGTCATTTTCAACAGCATAGAGAACTTTAGCCTGACTGTAAAGTTGATTAGGGAGTTTGAACTGAAGGGTCACTGATATTCTTCTCAAACCTAAAGGTAAGAGAAGGCAACTTGGTGAGTGTGAGTTTTGGGGCCAGACACTTGGCTGAGGTGCTAGCTCTACCCTGTGAGCTGATGTCCTCTGTACACAGGGCTGTGTGTCAAGTAAGGTAACAACTGCGCCTTCTTGCAAGTATGTGGCAAAGATTAGATGTGCAAGCTTCTACAGCAAACAATAAATGTACAGCTAACTGTCAGGACTGCAAGAATAGGCCTAAGTTAGTATCAAAGGAGACGGTCTAGATTTCCACTCCCTCCCTGGTGCTCTAGCATAAAGCAGGTTGCTCATGGGACATGATGTGTGGGCTCTGCTCTATGAGCACCTCCTCTCGTGGTCTGGTTTTCTATCACTGACTCCTACTAACAGTATTGTCATAGAACTGGGAGGATGATGTAGCTTAGTGGTAGAGTAAGGCCCCGAATCCCAACACCAGCACCACGGGGGTGGGGTGGGGGGTGGAGGTGACGGGGATAGGACAGAGAAAGAGAGAGATAGAGACAGACACTGATTTTTACTATTAGAATGTATCCACAGTGACTAGATACATCTTTGACAGGCTTATTCTAGAAGGAATGCTGCCAAGGACCACACCCAGCCCCAGATGTAAGCCAACAAGTCCCCAGCCCCCAGCTCTCCAGGGGCAGCCTTTACTGGTCACTCGGAGACTGGGCTCTTTGGTTTTCAGAAAGAATAGATTACAAGATGCAGACAGGGGTGTGGCTCTGCCACTAGAGATGAATCTAGCACCCACCAGGTTTCTCTTCATTCCTGCCTGCTTTTCTTTAACAGTGACATGTAGCTTGGATTAGATCCTTTTCTTCCATTTCCATTTCTCCCTCACTCCTAGTTCACTGTAAGAACCACGCATCTGAATAAAGACACGTCTCATTTTTCACAGGGGTCAGCGGAACCACAGGACTGACTCAGCCAGCACTGGCAGTCTGTAGCACTGAAAACTTCTGGAGATGTTGACACAAGGGAAACAGCAGACCAGAAGCAAAGGATAGGAAGGTATTTCTCAAGTGACTGAAACCAGCAATTAAGAACAGATAAAGCACCAAGAGAGAAAATGTTAGAAAATACTAAGTGTGTCAAGGGTTTGGGAAAGCAGTTTCAGATAGACAGACATATGCTCTGTGTGCAAGTATGCATCCAGATGAGTGGTAAAAGAATTTTTTTCTGGGAGGTCAGAGTCACCTATGTTCTGGGCTAGTCAGTTAATGTACGTCCCAATCTTTCCCTTGCACAGCAAACAGGGATAGTAACAGCTTCCACACAATGCTGCTGAGGGGCATCACTTACCTACAAATAGTGCCTACCTACCTAAAATCCATCCATCTACCTATCCAATCACTCATGGAAGTACATCTGAGAAGACTCAAGAGAGCAGGCATAAGCCTGGAGATTAAGAAGTAAAGTCAACACAACAGAGGAAAGAACTAAGGTCATGTAGAACTAGAGCCAACAGAGCTGGGAGTCACAGACAATATCATCTCAGGAGTCAGACTGTAAGGCTGCGTAGCTGGAAAAGGATTGTTCAGTGTAGGAAATGGGGGTGAGGCATTGGGAAGACCACAGGGAATAAGCCTGAGTTATGTCTTAATTATAACATATCTGGCTTTATTGTGGACAGCAGACAACAAACCAAAGGACAAAAGAGGAGGCTACTGCCACGATGGCTTGGCAGAGGCTGGTACTGGGTGTAAAGGCAGAGCCATTAGGTTTCCTAATGGAGTAACCACAGAACAACAGGAAGAGTCAAGGACCTTGCCAGGACAGGGAAAACTATGGCCTTTGTTGAAATGGATTTGGCAGAGAAATCAGGCTGCTTCCCTCTTTGCCTCTCCTTTTCTAGGGGTTTCAGTTCTGACACTCTACAGGTGAGTGACAATTTATCAATCTTGCCTTTGCATCTTTCTATTTCCTTCTCTGAGCTCCCTGGAATCTCTGCCCACACAAACATCTATATCTAAACTGTTGTTTCAGGTTCTACTTTTGAGAGAAAAACCAAGACACCAAGACAGCCTAAAACCACAGGTGCAAGTTAGCCAGAATGTGCTAAAACTCTAACCACATAGGATATCAAAAAAAAAAAAAAACCAAAACAAAACAAAACAAAAAAAACCAGGCACAGCCTAGTTCCTGGAGTTTAGTCTTGCATAGGAATAGCATACAACAACCTGTTGACACTGTGCAGTTATGCAGGTACAGAACAATGTCTATGGATACCATAGGCGATGCAGTATAGGTGATAGCCACCAAACCCAGCATGGGGAAGACCCAGGCAGGAAAGGTAAGGTAACCCACAAAGGGACAGGGGCAGTACGTGCAGCACCACACAGAAGAGAGAACTAAAGTCTTCCTGGAAAGTGTCATGATGCTGATCTAGATGAAAGGCTTCGGGAACCAAAATGAAGACACTGGAAATCATAAGCAGAGGAATGACACCTGTTCCTACAGTCTCTGGAGAGACGGAAGAGAAGGCTAGGAGGTATGATTCACCTTCACTTTAATTCTATTTTAAGTACTTGAAAACATGGTCCCAGTCCTGGTCTACCTGAAAACTAGGACTATTTGAATTCTTACATTTGGTTACAGCAGGTATAACTGTTTATTGAGTTTAGCAACTAAAGTATAAACACTGTCTTGAGAGAACAAGCAAAGGGGAAAAGCAGAGCTTCTGAGTGTTGTCTGGCAACCCCGTACGCTATGATGGGGAAGTGCAGACGAACCCTCTGGACCTGACCTGTTGGTGTCTCAGCTGCTCAGGCATCAGAACAGCAGTTACGCCGCTAGGTGTACTTTCTCAATCAATGTTAAGGTACGGCAGACTCATTTTCGTGCATGAGTTAGCTACAACTCACAGCAGCAACAAATCTCATGTACAAACCACACAGCTATTAGTGTCCTCACCTCCACCTGACTCATTAATGCAGAAATCCCATCACTTAACCATGGCAGAAAATCCTGGAAGGTACTGGGCTGTAGAAGAAAAGGCCCCCCGAAGAGCAGAAGCAGCTGAGACAAACTTCCCTAGAAAGCCAGATTCTGAAATAGGCTGACTTCTCATCACTTGGATCTCCCTACAAATACCTTTCTAAACTCTGCCTGAGACAGTTCTACTTCATGTTGTTTCCTGGAGCTTCAAGGGGGGAGTGGCGAGGAGAGAACGGAGAGAATTATTACAGTAAAAGCTCAGGGTAGATTGCTATCCACAGAGAAGTCTTTGGTCTACTGCCATCTTTTAGGAAGGCAATCTTATTAGGACTGCTCATCTTTTCTGAGCAGTAGTATCCTTGCCTGCTCAGTGCTAGCCCTACCTATACCATGTAGAAATCTCACGAGACATAAACAAAGCAACTTGCGAAAGGTCCAGAGCAAATCCCACCTGGCAAGTACACATCTTCCTTCTCTCTTCCTCTCCCGAGTGTTTGTGAGCCCGCTGCACACTGTGCATCACAGAGGTGCTGATGGTGGGAGGTGAGCTTGCAGGCTGGCTTCCTGTTCTCCTGCACCTCACATTCCTGTGACTGGGCAGACAACAATGTGATAAAGAAGGCAAGAATATGGAAGAACATTCATGTCAGGAGACTGTCAAAGTGGCCAGGAGGTGGGAGGGTGGATGATTAAGTGACATCAGGAAAGGCTTGGGACTCACTTGGTATTGAAGTTAAAGCCAAAGGCTCAGAACTTCCATGAATGTTATCTGATTAGCCCAGGCTTAAAATCTTTTGAAGTTTGCCCTGACCTTAAGTCAATTCCCCAGAAGAACCCTAAGGCCCCTCACAGCTAGACTCAATGAAATTACTTCATGCCATCACACAAATGCCTCTGATATACTAGATGCTGAGGTGAGACACCTGTATCTTAATATAAATTAATTCAACCCAAGTGTTTCCATTCTCATGTTACATGGAATAAGGACTTTGGGGTTTAAGGAAGGTAGGTACTTTTGGAACAGAGTATGTGGGGATAAGTGTATAAGAAAGAGAAGCACATAGTCAAAAACACAGTAGGACACTACCAAGGGAGGGTGAGGAGGAGATGGAAAGGGTTCAAAACAATTTCCCCTATTTTAATTTAAGAGACTGGTTCAATAGCTAAAGATTATTACAAATGACCTAGGCTCTGGGCTAGTCCAAAAAACTCTAAGAGCTCTGTGGGAAATGTCCCTTTTCTAACCTAAGTTCTGGGAACACTGTCCCTGTGCCATGCTGGAGAGTGCTGACAAAAACCTAACACGATCCTGAACTCTAGGGATCCGGTGACACAGATGAACACCCAGCACTTAACTACACACACAGCCGATCCCCAGGTCCTCACTTCTCTCTCCACTTGATTTTACTACATGGTGACAGGAAGCTGGCGCTGAGCTTCAGTTTTATCAGCACTCACCTGGTAACATTGCAGACATCTAAAAATTATCTCAAGTGCCTCAGGTTTCAAAGCCAGACTGGCTGAGGGGATCCTTCATGGTATCAAGTTACTGTACTCCACTTCAACACATTTCAGTCTCTCTCTTGCTAAAGAGCAGACTGTCAGCCTCAGCCAGAGGGCGGCTCCACTGTAGCAGTTTAGATTCTTAGCTATGCAGCAGACAAGCAGCCTCTGCTGGTCTGCAGAGACCTTCTGTGCTGCTTTGGGAGAACACTTGTGCCTAGCAAGTGCAAGCTGACGGTTGTAGACACTACTGAATACCAAGCCAACTAGAAACTTCCTCCCTAGACTACAGTACATGACAAGACAAGGGCAATAGCTGAGTAGAACTGATGGATTGATCTTAGTGTGGGCTGAAAATTCAACGTGCTAGTGCCTGACTCATACATTCCTGCAAGTGGGTTGGTTTTGTCCTTTGTGGTTCAAGTTTGTTTGCTTGTTTATTTATTTATTTATTAAAGATTTCTGTCTCTTCCCCGCCACTGCCTCCCATTTCCCCCCTCTCCCAATCAAGTCCCCCTCCCTCGTCAGCCCAAAGAGCAATCAGGGTTCCCTGCCCTGTGGGAAGTCCAAGGACCACCCACCTCCATCCAGGTCTAGTAAGGTTAGCATCCAAACTGCCTAGGCTCCCACAAAGCCAGTATGTGCAGTAGGATCAAAAACCCATTGCCATTGTTCTTGAGTTCTCAGTAGTCCTCATTGTCTGCTATGTTCAGCGAGTCCGGCTTTATCCCAAGTTTTTTTTTTTTTTTTCCTCAAAGATTTTCCTCAAACCTCAAGAATAACCAAGTATTTCTTTTTTTTTTGAAAAAAAATTTTTTAAAAAGATTTATTTATTATGTATACAATGTTCTGTCTGTCTGTCTGTCTGTATGCTTGCTGGCCAGAAGAGGGCACCAGATGGCTGTGAGCCACCATGTGGTTGCTGGGAATTGAACTCAGGACCTCTGGAAGAACAGTCAGTGCTCTTAACCTCTGAGCCATCTCTCCAGCCCTCAAGTATTTCTTACAATAAATTTCTTTTTCAACCAGTCAGTTTCTGTTCTGGCATATTTCTGCATGCTGCCTACATCCTGCCCTGTCTTTCATGCTTATTCTTCATATGTGAGATACCTCAAGCAAGGCTTTCATTACTGTACCAACACACAATCTCTTCCACAGAAGCAGCTTGCTCACTGGCTGTCTCCATGTGCAAGGCATGGTTAAATGTATCTGAACACATGGGTACTCAAGATAAAGCCCCACTGTCTAGTAATAAGGAAACCCCCAAAGCTGATTTTAATGTGTTAAATATCTTGATGGAGAGAGAAGTGTGATGGCTGGTGTAGTCCTCAGGAGTGCAGAGGGAGCTCAGGAGCCGTCTTGTTGTAATGCTTTGTTAAGATGAAAAGAATGGATAATGTCATAGCCCCCTCTATCCTAGTTAAAACAAAGGAGACTAAAACACAAAATCTTTAATAAAAGACCTTCAAGTCTCTATAGACATCTGTATTTAGACTACTTTTAAAATTCTTTAGTTACCTCCTGTGACTTTTCCCTGTTTCTGTTCTAGAGACACAAATCTGCCATCTGACCACCTCCACCACTCAACCTGAACCATCCTGATTGTGATAAACTCCTTTTTCAACTCAGCTAAAGTTCTACTCATTGGGAACCCCTTAGGGCTGAACATTCCCAGGCAACATCCTGAGTTCGTATGGAGAAGTCCTAACCTCTGCACCTCAAAAGGCAATCATATTTGGGGCTGAAGTCTTTATACAGCTAATTAAATTAAACTTAGTCCAATAAAACCAATATCTTTAAATAAAGAATTAGAACAGAGACAAACATGGAGGGAAGATCCTATGAAGATATAAGAAGATGCTGTCTACAAGCCAAGGGCAGAGACCCCAGAAGACACCTGGCCTGCCAACAACATCTTTCCAATTTCCAGTTTCTGTAACTGTGTTGTTTAGGTCACTGGTCTGTATACTAAATTAAAGCAGGTCAGAAAACATAGCTATTAACTTACTTAAGCTTAGAACAAGTAAACCAAATCCAGTGTGGCACATTTCTACACCCAGCACTTGGGAGGCTGACATAGGAGGAGGGTGAGTCCAGGCCAATGTGGGTTACAAACCCTTGTCATCCTTTGCCACACTGAACAGGCACACCACTACATTGTGTTTATTCACTGTTGTATGCTAGTTGGCTGTGTGTCCCACTAGGATTGCAAGCTCTTTAAAGTCCAATACATTACTTCTGACACTCCCCATGATGCCCAACTTGGGATCCTACAGAATAAATATGTGATTATTTTCCACTCTCTACTCAAACTAAGGAGTAAAAATGAAGCTCTTTGATGGCTTTCTCTAAATAAAGTTGGCCACTTTACTGTCCTGTTTTAGACTACAATTTGTTTTTTTTTAATTATTATTTTCTAGAAAAAAACAGACTACAGACTAGCACACAGGCTTCTCTGACTAATGTCAGTTCTCTCTGTACCATACCTGGGTGTCACTCCTTACCAAGTAACCCATAAACCTGCATTTCCAGTTTCTGAAACTTAAAAGTAACTTCTACTTCTCCTTTACTTGGCCACCGTGGAACTATAAAAGCTTTTGCAATTTGCCAACAGCAATACTACATTCCTCTGCAATAGTGCCCTAGTGTGATTTCAATGCATCAGCTTTTGTATGTGGAGACCTCGGAAGATCCCACATGCTCCCCTCAAAAAGTCCTTGTTTTCATCTGTGAATTCCTATCTAGCACCAGGCTTGACAGGGGTCTACCATGCAGAGAAAGTTCACTAGACTTCTCACCTTTATCTCTTCAGAGCCCCATAGGACCCAGCACAGGACATTTCCTAAGCTTTTTTTTTTCTGAACTTCTGTAATTACACTAGCAATTGAATTACGATTCCACCTGTATCTCTGCTCAGACTTCCTCAGACTTCAGTCCCTGGCTGCCTTATGAACAGATCCATTTCAGTATCCCACTTGCCCTACTTGGCACTGTGATCCACACCCTCCCCCCTGCTTGTCTTCATACATTGCCTCCTTAGTTTGGGGTGATGTCAGCCAGGTCTCTTCAGGCAGAAAGGTATTTTCTTTCCTTTGCCCTCTGGCCAGTCTCTGATACCTGTAAATCCAGTCCTCAATCAGCTCTGGTACAGGGACAACTAAAATGGCTTCTCAAGTTATCATCTTGTCTGGAGACCCCTTTTGTTGCTTTTAGTGTTCCCATACCTAACTTCCCCCACCACATAATACTGTCAATTCCTTGAGGGAGAGCTTCTATCGACAATTTCTATTTCCTCCCTATACTTCATTTCATTAAATAAAAATGCTATATTGGTAAGTGGATAGGCTGAATTAGAGTCACTTTTAAGTAAGCCAAATTTCTTCTTTAACGCCAATATTTAGGGGTAAAGTTAAGGATAATGACTAATTGCCAGACATGGAGGAGTGTTTTCGGTGGAAACGCTAACATGGATTAACCTATTTTTGGCCCTTTTAAAGAAGGTGGAGAAGTTCATGAAACAAATCCAGGAACTCATGACTCAGGGTCATGCTGATGAACAATCACCGGACTATGCTGTAACACAGATGTCTGAGGACGTAGAGGAGTTTGGAGCTCATGCACCAACGCAAAAAATCCAGGCTTCGGAGGGCTGCTCAGTGTCCCTCAACACCGCACACTCTGAGTCAGGCAACCTCAAGAAGTATCTGTCTAAAGCTCCCTACAAAGTGCTGAAGTGTGTGGTTCTCCAGCACCCAGGGTCTCAGGGATGCACAGCGCACGGTTCTTTGATTACAAGGTGCGTTCTCTTCAGAGGGACACTCAAGGTGCTCCTGATAACCAGGCCTGGGAGACGGAAGGGCTGCAGGGAGGTCTTCTGCTCTAAGTCCCAGGGCGAGGAGGGTCTTTCTGGGGAGGGAAAGGGGCGGCAGGGGCTCAGGAGGTGTCTGCGGGGGAGCTGACCGACAGGCTGTCACGCTCCAACCGCGGCAGGTGCGGGGTGCTGCCCGGCTACCCGGTCTTGAGCCCGCGTGCCGCCGGGCCCGGAGTGTGCACCATTGCCTGCAGCGGCGTCTCAACGGTTCTGTGGGGGCGCGCGCCCCGACTGCACTCCCTGGCTTACCCAGGCCACCCCGGCTAGGGTTAGCAGCTCAGCGGGCCGGAGGCCGAGCATGCGCAGGAGCGAGGGCGAGGCCAAGTGCGGGCATAAAGCATGCGCAGTGTAAAGACACATTGGGCTACGTGGGAGTCTGAGCATGCTCCGTGAGGACCGCGGCCCCGCGCACGCGTAGAAGGGCCCGGCGCCCGCAACCCACTGGTGGAGGAAAAAAGGAGAGAAATCACCTCAGAGTTACGTCAGGAAAGGCCGCGTTTTGCGGGGAGGCCGTAGCCCCGAACAGGGCCCGACGTCCTCCTAGGGCGCGGGACGTGACGGCTACTCACCGCTCTTCAGCCCCGGGGCAGGCGCCGGGTCCCTCTCCTCTCACACTCGGCTCGCGCAACCCGCAGCCGCCGCTGCCGCTGTGATTCCATCCATCTTGAATTTGACGTCATCCCACACCAGGGATGAGGTCATCGCAGGCAGCGCTCGTCACGTGCGCGGCGCTGGGATTGGGTGCCGGGCGGCCGGGGGCGGGCTGGGGGCGGGCCAGCGGGAGCGCGGCCGCGTTGGGTCCCGAGCGTGGGTGCTTCTCCGAGGAGGTGCAGCGGGCGAGCCGTGGAGCTCGGGGACGCCCCGAGGGTAGGTGGCGATAGTGGGAGCTATCGGAAAGTGGCTCATTTCCATTTCTTCCTCCTGGAAAGAGCTGTAGTGAACAAGTTGAGCTCTCAGGCTTCGCCCCCTTTCAGATCAGCAGTTTCTCTTATTCACTCTGTGGCGTCTGCCTGTCAATCACAGATTCAAACCTCTCCCTTTTAAAACGGTGTCGTAGCTGGGCGAGGTGGTTTATGAAAGTAATCCCAGCACAAAGCAGGCTGACAGGCTGAGGCAGAATTCTGTTACAGAGTGAGACCGTTGTCTCACTAAAGAGAGGGAGGGAGGGAGGGAGAGAGAGAACCCACACAACTCTTTTTCGGCAACACCAATTCTCTTTTAGCTTCTTTGTATGAAAAATTACAGATCCATTGTCAGATGACATTGTATTCAGCCAAAAACCAGACAGCTGGGTAACAAATGCCAAACTGCAAATCACAGCTGTGAAGAAAGGGACTTCCGGCCACAGGACAGCAGGACAGTTCTCTAGAGACTGGAACATAGCAACAGACAGTCTCACCAAGAGGCATTTCTAAAACAAACCTTAAAAATGCCTAGATCTTAAATTAGGTGTCCTAAATTTCAAGAAGCATGTGATTTTCAAATCTACTTCTGAAGGTGGGTTTTAGCCACATGAATCAAAGTAAAATAGCTTTATGAAGTGTGTGAGAAATATGTGGGAGAAGGAATCTTGCTTTAGGGTTGATCCAAGCGAGAAAAAAAGTCTTCAAATAAATAGCTCTGAATATTTTAGTTTCTTTAGTTTCGAGACTTTAGAATTTCACCCGTAAGTTTTCAATCATTCAAGGGTTTAAAAAAAATGTCTTTGTATTTTGAACTGCTTAGCAGTTAAAGCCAGAAGTTTTGTAAGATGGCTTTCGGAAGGTCACTTGTGATGACTTTGTTAATATGCAGCATTGCCCCTCTTTTTACAGGCCAGAAAATCATCATTGCATTGCAGAGCCTGAGGCTCAGATAAAAGCCAGACTTATTGTTTTTGTTTGTTTGTTTTTAACCACCTGGAGTGCAAAGCAGCCTCTCTCTGTTTCCCAGCTAGCTGCAGCTCATTTGCTGTGTCTCCATGCCTGCTGCCTGTACACTTGGTGCCTCCATGTTCCCCTATGGTTGCCAGTTCTCTGAATCTGACATAACTTTCCCAAATACAAAAGAAACTTTTGGATCTTTCAGGTGACCTCTGGCATGCAATATTTTATCTGTTCCTTCTTTGGACCCAATGGCAGCAGCTATATCACTTTGCCCTGGGTTACCTGCCCCTGACTTGCACCTTATTGGCCTTCTGTGCTGTTTCCTCTGCCCCGTGCCCATCCCTACACTTTGGATTTCTGAGGGTTGTGGTCTTGCCTGTCCTGTTACATTTACTCTGTGCCACTTCATCCATGGCAGGGGAGATGCTCTGGCAATGCAGTCAGTCACTTTAAGCACTACCCCCTGTGACACACACACACACACACACACACACACTTTATAACTGCTCTTGCAGCTTCCAGGTTTTATTCCACCCTGACTTTGCAACCAAACAAGTCTTTTAAAATGTTCTTTTGCTCCAGTGTTAACACTGGGTTCTCCATTGCTTTTAGGTGAGAGTTGAACTTCGTCCTAGTGTGGCCCATATTCATGTTGTCTCTCCTCTCAGCTCACCTCGGAGCTTCAGGTGTATTGCTTCCTCCACCGGAACTAAACTGTACCTTCTACCCTGTCCTGTCGCCTGTAATTGCCCTGGGATGCTGCCCTTATGCCTTCCTGCGATCACTTCAGCTTTGTCCTGGGATTGACCTTTGTGCTCAGTAGTGTCTTTTGTAGGGTTTGATTGTGACTTCCCGTATGTACCATCGGATTTGTTTCCCAGATGCCTGCCTCTGGACTGAAATAGAAGTAGAAGTCCATTATGATTCTACCCCTTGATAAGCACTAAAGTGGGCTCTCTAGCTCTTGCCTCCTTGTACATGTTTATACACACATTGTTTACTTAACTTAACCACCTCATCAGGAGTTACCACTTGAATGACCCCTACCCATGGGTTTCACAAGCTGGAGTCCATGAAGGGGATTCTGAGCCGAATTTATTTGCTCTTCCTATTTAAAGGGGCTACTGCCTGCTCTACTGCCCAATTGGAAACTTGGGATTACTTTTCAGTTTCTGCCTTCAGCTGTCACTAGGTCTTATCAGGTTACCTTTCAACTATCCCTCAGGTCTTTCCTCACTGGCTCTAACTCTTCTTTTCCTGGGTTCCAGTCCTAACTCTGGCCAGTCTGAAGCTACTTGACCTATTTCTGATTCTCCTTCCCCCAGTGAATTGTTTTTAGCTGAATGCATCCTTTTAAATGCATGTCTTATCCACTTGTACTCAGGTACACTCTCCCTTGGCGTCCAGTGGTCTGCTGCCTCAGCAACCCCAGGCATGGCTGCTTGGCTTTCTGCTTGTCCTACACCAGGGCTCACTACCCCTTTCCAAGTACTCCTTACCAGCTCCCTGCTCCCTCTACATAGCAGACCCACATTCTCTCTCATGGTCAAACCACAGCCTCTTTTATGCTTCAGTTGCGTCTCTGTAACATCTGTGCCATCTCTTTCTGGCTGTTTGAAGGCCCTTTACTTCCCTAGCATGAATGTTCCTTTGGTGTTGAGACTGCCTAGTAACCTGGGTGTTCCCAGACCTTTGGGCTCGTTGCTAGGGCTGTGTCCTGGCCCAGTTGCTCCCCATGGCTAGAGTTTTCCCTCAGAAACTGGGTTACAATGCTGTATAATGCTGTGGTGTAATAAAATTCTGTCTGAATTTCTTGTGCTAAACAAACACATTCTTCTTGCAAACTGGGGGAGGCACTTTTAGGTGGAGTTTAAACGAATTTCTGCAACTTTGCAAGTGGAAAAGTTTACTCAGTTACACATCTCTTAAATATCACTTCACTTTGAACACATACCTAGACATCTAAGTTTGCCCAACTTGTGGTTTGAGTAGTTGTTCCTCCAAATAATTAGGCTGGGATAGAGGGTAGAGGTGGTAATATTAGTGTCTTGTAATTGCTGTGATAAAGTACCCCAACCTTAGAGGCTTTTTGTAGGTTAGTCACAGTTCAGGAGGCAAGTGTCTGAAGTTAGTACCATTAGACTGAAGTCTTGTGTCTGCAGGGTCCTGTACCCGTGGGCGGTACTGGCACAGTATCCTTATAGCCTCTTTACTTCTGGTGGCTACTAGCAACTCTGCCTATAGCTACGTCTCTGAAGCCTTTGCCTCCACCATCAAGTGGGCTCTCCTGTCTGCCCAGTCTTTCTCTGCCTGGTATAAAGATATCTGAAGAGGAATTCCCCATCCCCATATCTCAGCCTCCTCAGCTCAGATCCAGGTAGGAACAAAACCCAGGAGACTTGCATCATCATGGTTCCTTTGACATGGGTAAAATTGGATTGAATTAAATGTTTATTTCACTGCTGAGAAGCCTGGTCTTTAAAAATAGGATACACATAAAAGAGGCTGGAGAGATGTTACTACCCTTTCAGAGGATCTAGTTCAGTTCTCTTTACCCATATCATGCTTCTCACTCTAACTCCAGTTCTGGGAGATCCAGTACCCTTTGGCTTCAATGAGCGTTTACATGTACATAGTACACATAAACTTGCACAGCCACACACACATAAATAATACATCTTTTAAAAATATGATAAAAGAGAATGGATAATAGGCTGAAGGATGGCACCCTAAGAAAACAGCAATCACTACTGTGTCTTTCTCTTTCCCTCAGTATCCAGCCTACTTCTCATCACCAGCCTTGCTGTACCTGCAAGTCAGTAAATGGCACAACTAATAACTAGATTGCATGGATAACCTTCAGCATTTAGTTAAGTAGGAAGTAAGTGTGTGTGTGTGTGTGTGTGTGTGTGTGTGTGTGTGTGTGTGTAGTAATTCTGGTTATTTGTTTATCATTTTATTTTAAGGTAGTGTCTCATATAGTCTAGGCTTACCTCAAACCCATGGTTTTCCTGCCTCATTTCTTTTAGTACTGGGATTGCAGACATAGCCACCATGCCTAACTGGTTATGGACTTTGTGCACAATAAGAAGACAGTTTGAGATGGAAGGAAAGAGGATGCAGAATATAATGCCTTTGAACTCTGCACAATAGGGTATCTTTGGTAAACCCCAAAGAATGGGGTTAGGGATGGCAACTCTAGTTTAACTGTATCCACCCTTGCCCTCAACTGTGACACAGTTATCATACGTAAGTGTGTCATACTTAAGTGTAGAAATTCTCATTCCACACACCGAAAAAGTGAGGCTCACAAAGACGGGCATGAGAACATCTAGTGAACCCATTGAGGATAGTCAAGTAGTCAAGTTAAGCTACTCTGAGAACATTTCAGATTCATGAGGTTAAATGTATTAACCTAAAAGCCCATCTTTTCCCTGATGGGAAAGATGAGTTTAGAGTACAACACTCTTTTCTTTCTTTCTTTCTTTCTTTCTTTCTTTCTTTCTTTCTTTCTTTCTTTCTTTCTTTCTTTTTCGAGACAGTGCTTTGGACACTGTCCTGGAAGTAGCTCTTGTAGACCAGGCTGGCCTTGAACTCATGAAGATCTGCCTGACTCTGCCTCTCGAGTGCTGGGATTAAAAGCGTGTGCCACCACTACCTAACTGAGCACAACACTCTTGTGCAATGCATCTATCTGGAAGGGAGAAATATGTGCACAACCAGGAACAAGCTGGAACGAAACAGGAAGCACAGAGCTTCCTACTGCAGGGCCTGTGTTTTGGTCAGTGACTTGTGGATGAGCTGTTTTATGAAGAGGTATGGGGACATAGAGCCAGCCCACCTCTTTGTCACTCTCACTTTCCGTCTTCACTTATATACTAGTCTGTTGGGCTCTGGCATTATGAAAATAAATACCTTGAAGATGGTTTCTGCCATCGGGGAACTGGTGTCTTCTCCACAAACAAATACCAGGAGCCTATGCTCTTAGGGCTGTGATTCAGAAGAAATCTGCCTGCCTATTTCAGGAACCCAGACACCAACTGAGCCTGGGGCCAGTGATGACCAACCCAGGATTTGTCTTCTGGTGCCTTGGACTGCCTGGTGAAGAAGAACTTGGAACCATCAGTAGCTCTTTCCTGTGCAGTGGCCATACACAAAAGGGTTCAACATTGTTTCTGGTAGAGGTCATACTGGCTTCTGGGCTGACAGAAAGAAGCTGACCATTGCTGTTCTGTGAATGCGGCAGAGTCCTCAAAATGTGTGGCAAAACTAACAGACTCAGTAGAGACACTCATTCAGTCAGCCCCTTCCTGGCAGTCTTTTGGTTGGCAGGGAAGTGACATCACTCCTGTATTTGAGCCATCAGCATGTACTGATGCTAAGTGTCCTTGCCCCAGAACAGTTTGAGACCAGAAAGGGGATTGGTTTTGGTTTGACTTTCTTTGGCTTTGTATTTATTCTTGGAGATTTTAGGGTTTAGCCACCCTTGTGGTGAGAATAATCTGACTGTGGTATTATTGAGAACAGAGATGGTAACTACTGATTGCATCTTCACCAGCATTCACATTCACACTGTAAATATGATGTTTATAGTTTTATTCATGTAGCTCCTAACATTGTACATCTTAGTTCTAGACCTTTTTTTTTTATGACAGGCTCTCAAGAAGCTCATTCTTGTCTCGCGTTTGCTATGCCACCTGGGAAGATGACCTTGAACTCCTGATCCTTCTGCTCCACCTTCTGAGTGCTGGGTTTATGAGGTGCTGGTGAGTGAACTCATAGCTTTGTATATGCTAGGCAAGCACTCTGGAGCATATTCATTGAAACTAGGTCAAATGACTGTTTCCTATATTAATGAACAGTTTCTACTTCTCCCCTCCTTCCGGGATATGACTCAGTCAATCTGGCATCAGGTCTCAGGTCTCTGATATGTCTGAAATAACTTCTAAAAATAGGTGAAAGCCCCTTTCCCACTTAGCTCCTGAGACAGGCTAATAGCCACGAATGTCCCTGCACTTTGGAAATTGTTAGGAAGAAATTCCTGGCAAACGGAAACCACGGTGACATCATCTGTGGTTCTGCAAAGTCTGTGTGTTGAATTCATTTGACACACTCTTGGCTAGAAGAAGTCTAGAATATCCTAATAATACAAGAAATATTCCCAAGATTTTTCCCCATAGAAAAATCAGCCAGGGTTTTACAGTGAGCTGGTGTAAGCGCGTGCCAGAGCTGCAAAAGGATCAAGACTTGGCCTCTTGACAAAACCTGCTTTTCGGTCAATGCTCAATTCTCCCCTCACCATCAGTGGACAAGAGTGATCACTTGATTCCATTATAATGGTCAAGCTGCAGGAAAAACTAACATGAATTGTTTTGTTTTTCTTTTACCCCATTTTTACCCAGTGACGTGATTCTTGCCACAGTTATTGGGGCAAAGGATGTCTATCTCCCTAAAATCCTCATAGAAGCTAAACTGTGGCAGTATTATGGGGGCATTCAGGGTCAGAGCCTGGATCCTGACTGCCCTAGCAAGCTTGGTCACCTGTTTTCAAAATCCATTTAAAGAGACAAGTGTAGAAAGGAAATTTATTCAGTGTCACTGTTCTGGGAGGAGGAACCAAGGTACAGCAAACAGACACACACACTCACACTCCTTTAGAGTCTGGACAGGCTTAGGTTTAAGTAAAAGAAGGTATGCGGGGCTGGAGAGATGGCTCAGAGGTTAAGAGCACTGACTGCTCTTCCAGAGGTCCTGAGTTCAATTCTCAGTAACCATACGGTGGCTCACAGCCATCTGAAATGAGATCTGATGCCCTCTTCTGGCCAGCAAGCATATATACAGACAACACTGTATATATAATAAATATGTATACAAGCTCATACTAAATATGAGCAGCCCTAGTCAAGGTGTAATCCTGCCTCATTGTCCCATCATTGCCTCAGCTCCATTGTCTTCTGCAAGGGGGTCTGACAAGTTGTCAGAACTGTGTGAAGTCTGTTCCTTCTCTGTCTGGCCTCTGGCTTTTCCTTCTTCAGCAGGAGACTCCTGAGGACAGCCAAAGGGTGGGACACACATTTCTTTAGAACACCAACATTACTTCCATGATGGTTAGAGTAGTAGGTACCACCTATAATTCTCTACTTTGAACACTAGCTACCTGGGACTACTAGCACACGATTCCTGAGTTTAAGGGCTCTGACCCCCAAACTGTCCACCACTTTCAACCAATTACAAACTCCAGGTTCCGACCCATTCTTCTAATGGCAGGTTGTATATTGGAGTTTCACATCCCCGTCCTAAGGGGGTGACTGGTGGAATGGTTCATAGAACCCAGAGGAAGACTTATTTACATTTGTAGTTTATAGCATTGCTAAAGAGTTTTAAGTACAGATGAGAGTCCAGTATCCAGTTCCCTCTGTAGGCACTTTTATATTATAGGATAAACAATAGTAACAAAGCTGGATAGGGTTTACTTTGTAGTTGATCTTAAGGCCACATTATTTTAATCCCTTTTGCTGCTGGCTGATTCTCCTTCTCCCCATTACAGAGCTGGGGCTAGTGTGCTGACTGAGGACAGAGGATCTTAGAGGACACTTGATAGAAACATGGTTCTGTTTAAATAGGGGGAGAGGGAGCCCAACTTCCAAATTCAGCTTCTCATTGAGTTCAAACAGTATCCGACGATTACCAATATAATGTTCCTTACAAAAGAACACAGAAGAAGAGAGGGATGCGGGTAAGGCATAGGGGAGGAGAGACACTTATCATATAGACAATCCCCTGAGATCCTACCTTCTATGAACCTCTTAAGTTCTCGTCTTTTGGGTTGGTATGAAGGCTTCTCACAAAGGATTGACTTACTCCAGAAGGCTTTATTGTAGACATGAGGGAGAGCACAGCCAGAGGCATTTGGAAGAGTACAGAGTGAACATGGCAAGCAGAATAGATGGGTCGTGAGAGGAGAGTAAAGGAGAAAAAGAGAGGAAGAGGAAAAAGAAGAACCAAGAGGCCACGAGAAGGACTAAGGACCAAGAGAATGCATAGGCAAAATGGCCGAGTTATCTAGGAGAAAAGAAGCTGGAGGAAGGGAAAGCAAGCTCATGGGTTGGGGAGGTTTAGGGTAGGGGTGGAAGTGAGAAGTTCTGAGAGGAGGCAAGACTCAGGTAATGGTATCCAGCATTTGCTTTGGTATGTTAATAGGCACCTCAATTAGCCATTTGTCCAAGGCTGGTCTTAAGCTTCAGTCTATCAGCTCTACCTGGACATTGATGCTGAAATTCCATACCCTGTTGTAAAATGAGCAGCAGGGCTGCGTCCCGCCACCTGGCTAGCTTTACCCGAAATAATTACAAGGAAACTATTCTTTTAAACACTGCTTGGCCCATTAACTCTAGCCCTTACAGGCTAATTCTCATATCCCGATCAACCCATCTCTAGTAATCTATGTAGCATCAGTTTTACCGGGAAAGATTCTAGCCTATGTCCATCCTGGGTCTGAGCTTCATGCATCTGCCCCCTAGAGCTGAGCTATGGCATCTGTCTGAGGCATCTACCTCACTTCCTCTTCCTCCCAGCATTCTGTTCTGTTTACTCCTCCCACCTATGTTTTAACCTATGAGGCCAAGCTGTTTCTTCATTACTTAACCAATGACCTTCCTCCATCAATACCCTCTGGTCCTTTCTTGGTCTTTCTGTGACCTGCCTCAACCCTCAAGACACTTAAAGGCTGCTAGCCAGCATTCTGCTCACAGTTAACAGAAAGATGACCCTTACCACCTTGAAGAGTTTAAGAATTTAAGGAGCTATATGTCAGGAAACAGGAATAAAGACGGAAGATACATTTGATTGTTACATTTGAATATTAAAACCTCTTTGGCATTAAGCAATATGTGTTGTGTTATATATTTATACGTATGAATTTATGTGCTAGATGCCAGAGTTCAACCACTTTCCATACCCTTCTCCCCTTTTAAGACAGGGCCTCACTGTGTAGATAAGGCTGGTCTTGAACTCATAGAGATCACCTGCCTCTGCTCCTCAAGTGCTGAGATCAAATATGTACATACACCACCACATTTTTCTTTCTATCTTATTTTTGAGACAGGGCCTCTCTGGACCTAGAGCTTACTGATTCAAACTAGACTGTCTGACAAGCATGTTTTTCCTGTCTCCACCACCCCATATCTAGGTACTATGTGGGTGTTGGTACGTAAACCAGGTTGTCATGCTTTCACAGCAAGCATTTTATTGAGCCACCTTCTGGCCCTGCCATAATCTCCTAAAAGTAAACCCTGCATTTTATCTTCTGAGTTTGAAGTTAGCTCATCATAATTCAGTATTAAAATGAAGGAGGGGACACTGCAGCTTTAAGTATCTGCGGGTCAGTTCAGGGGCCCACCCTAGCAACAAGTGACAAAAGAGTCCCAAGCAGCTGCTACAATAAAGGGTCTGGGGTTTGATTGTGAACTGTTTGAGCATGTAATTCCCAGACAGTGACAGTTTTGAAAGACTGTGGAACTTTCAGGAGGCAGAGCTTTATAAAAGGTAGTTGATCATTGAGGGTGAGCCTTGATGGTTTAAATCTGGGTCTCACTTCCTATGTACTTTTTGCTTCCTGTTCTGCCAAGATGGGAGGAGATTAGGTGTCTCAGCTGGAAACTCCTGTCACCATGGAGTGTCCTGTCACTGTGCCTTTTCACCACACTGGACTGTGTCCCTTCAAAGTGACTAAATACATGCTCCCTTAATTCGCTGCTTGTCAGGAATTTGACCACAGCAACGAGAAAGATAACTATTGAGAACACCAGTTGCTTGCTTGTTTAGTGGTGGGGACCAAATCCAGGACTGCATACAGACTAAACATAAATGCATGCCCAGCCTTAGTTTTCCTAGCAGGTGAAAAGCGATGTTCAGAACAGGCCAAAGTGTGGAAAACACAGACAAAACATACATGAGCATTGCATTAAGTATATAAACAAACTGTCAGAGAACAAAGATGTGTGACAATGAAGAGTGCTTATGGAACTGTAAAGGCCTCCAGGTCTAAGGACTGATACTCACTGTCCTGTAAGAAAGCTTCATTCAGAGACTGAGAAATTAAGGAAGAAGAACAATGAAATTAGCTTTGTTAGGCACAAGTACTGTGCCTGAGATACAGACACACAAATGTATAGTTTACATCAAAAGGCAGAAAACACCACGTTGGTGTTGGGTTAGTAGCCTCAAATGCCAGCTCTTCAGCATAGCAACTGGGTGACCCTGGAAAGTGTTAGAACCTACACGGTGTCATCATCAGTGAGAGAGGAAATTGGCAGTCTGCCTCTTAGCTTGTGAACGAGGAGCGAGTGAGACTACAAGGGCCAAGTGATTAGTACAGAGCAAGCACTGAACCGGAGGCAGTGCTAAGCCACCACAACCTCTGCCTTACAGTGTGACTTGATACTGAAAGACATTTTTAAAAAGTGGTCAGATCTGAAATAAGTTACCGTCAAGGTGGATATGATTGTGGTGCACATGGTAAGAGTGGCAGTGTGTGTGTGTGTGTGTGTGTGTGTGTGTGTGTGTGTGTATTGGGAGTGAATCTGTACAAGCTCATTCCAGGGAGATGATTCTGATATTTGATTAGAACATGGTGACTACATTGATTAACTCATGACTGGAAGATAAAATATGGAATACCTGTGTGAAATAACTTGTGAGGAGATAATGCTGTAAGGAGATAAAACATGTTCACGTTCATAAAAGCTAGAAAAGTGGAACGTAGTGCTTACAGAAAAATTCAAAGAAATTCCATACTAACATATAATATTTTAAAGTTGGATGCTAGAAAAAATGTGATGGTTGATTTTGCTGTTAAGTTGACGAGGTTTAGAATTATTGAGGAAATATTCATCTTCCCATGTCTGTGTTTCTAAAAATGGGTTAACTGAGGAGGGAAGACCCACCTGGAATATGAGTGCCATCATCCCATGGACAGGGGCCTGATGGAATGGGATGGAGAGAGTGAGATGAGCACCAGCATTCGTCTCTCTGCTTTCTGACTACAGAGACAGCATGACCAGCTACCCCGGGTATCCTGCTGCCGCCCCTTTCCTGCCACGGTGGACTGTGAGCTAAAGCAAACCCCTTCCAAGTTCTCCCATCAGGTGTTTTGTCACAGCACGAGAAAAGTAAGTGATATAGTAGGGATGATAAAGAGGAATTAAATTTGGTCAGGCTGAATAGTTTCTTAACAATCACAAGAGGCCATTGTCTTAGACTGGGCTCCTGCTCTGGACCTCAGCAAATTGGCTAAAAAAAAAAAAAAATCCAAATAGAGTCACTCATGCTATAATTCCAGGTCACTAAGCTGAAACTGGCAGTTAGCATTAGTTAGAGAGATAACATTCTTCCCCAAAGAGGCCTCTTCAGGGGTATGATAATAAAGTTCCCCTCTTCCTTAGCCCTTACACCCAAAGTAACCCAGTGTCAATTGGTTCTCCTTCTACTGCTATTTTCCCTGTTGCTGCCAGACATGGAAATGAATTTGAAATGAGACACGCACCTTTTGTTTTATGTTTTTGCTATTTTCTACGCTTCTCTGTTGGCTCAGTGGGATGCTCCATGTCTCCTATGGGATGAGGAGCAGCCTCATTGTAGAATAGGAGCCAGTTAAGATCTGTAAGACAAATTGCTGTGGTTTTCACTTTTGACAGAATTCCCAAATTGACTAGATGTTTGTGATAAAGGGAATAACAGAGAGATTATCAGAGATGCTCAGTTTCCTCTCCCAGGGCTATCCAAGAGCTGCCCTTCTGTAGTTTACATTAATTAGAACTGGCTTTTCCTTTCTCCTTTGGGGCACATGATCTGTATGTGGAATGTTGTCCTGTTCAGGACAGGAGAGCTGGAAACCTTTGTTCTCCTCCAGAGTGTTGAAGAGGCAGATGTGGTGTGTGACAGGCTTCACTGGCCTCCCAGCCAAAGCCACATCTCCAGGACTTCCAACAAGCAGCTCAGATACAAAGAGGTCCGAGAACAAGGCAGTGACACTTGTTTGTCTGCAGCTTTTCTTGAGTGAGTTGTGTTGCTGCTGCTGCTGCCGCCACGGCCACCATCCTCCATTAACATCAGATTCCAGCTTCTTCGGTCTTCCCACATGGACTGAACACCAGGGACTCTCCAGAGAGTTTGCAGGTTTTCAGAATGGACCAAGCCCTCAGTAGTGGATGGAGACTGCTGATGTATTCATCTTCATGAACTGGGTTTCTCAGCCTCTCTGGCATGTATGGCTATTGATGGGCTAGCCAGTTTCTACAGCATATATGTACTTATTGATTCTGTTTCTCTAAAGAACCTTGCCTAAAACAATGTCCAATGGAAGAGAACACCAATACCAAATGGATGGCCCTGAAAACATACATACAAGTAAAATTATACAGCCTGAGCAGGTTGTATTTAGAAAAGAATATATATACATATACATCTACATGGAGGGGTATATGAGACTATTTGGATGAAGGAAAGAAAGAGGAAATGATGTAATTATAATATAAAATAAATAATAACAAAAAGGAAAAGAATAGAGACGCAGAAAAGTAGGAATGAGATTTATGATAGGGTCTCAATTTGTAGCCCAGGCTGCCCTCAAACTCACATTAACACTACTGCCTCAGCCTAGTGACTACTGAGATTACAGTCATGAGCCACCACACCCAGCAAAAGATTATCTTTTTTAAAAAATATTTATTATTATGTATACAATATTCTGTCTGTGTATATGTCTGCAGGCCAGAAGAGGGCACCAGACCTCATTACAGATGGTTGTGAGCCACCATGTGGTTGCTGGGAATTGAACTCAGGACCTTTGGAAGAGCAGGCAATGCTCTTAACCACTGAGCCATCTCTCCAGCCCCCAAAAATTTTCTTTTGAACAGAATAAAAAGTACCTGTGGTAGAGATCACCAGTGCCCACTTGGTTTTATTTGGGATGGCAATGTGCTTCACTAAATAACTGTTCTTTCTAACCTCTTGGCTTCTATTTGATGTTTTGTCTAAGAGATGGCCACAGAAACATGCTGCAGGAAACTGTGGGATGCCTGCCCTATTTATCTTAGATTGGTTTGGTGTAGGAGGTCCTTCTTTCTATGTGTTGCTTGTATTAGTTAATGAATAAAGAAACTGCCTTGGCTTGATAGGGGCAGAACTTAGGTAGGCAGGGAAAACAGAATTGAATTCTGGGAGGAAGAAAGCAGAATCAGAGGAACGCCATGGAGCTGCCCTAGACCGACATGCTGAATCTTTCCCTATAAGCCACTGCCATGTGGCGATATACAATATATATAGAAATGGGTTGAATCAAGATGTGAGAGTTAGCCAATAAGAGGACAGAACTAATGGGCCAAGCAGTGATTTAATTAATACAATTTCTGTGTGGTTATTTCTGGGCTAAGCTAGCTGGGCAGCCGGGATGAACAAGTGGGCCCTCCTCCAACACTGGTTGCCTTCAGATAGTTTTCCTACATTCAGTGATAGTCCAATCCCTGTATTCAGCTGAACTGATTCCTAACATGTACCATGATTTAAAGTGGAATGAAGACATCTTAGTCCATAGGAGTTATTTTAAAAGTATATGAACACACCCAGTGCCCAGAAATATTTCTATTCTCTATGTGTGTTTCATTCATTATATTAATCACAACATTAATCCCTAACATTTGTTAGGGAGGAGTCTGGTTAGCTTTTTGTCAACTGAGGAGATGCCTCCATCAAATTGGCCTGTGGTCAAGTCTGTCAGATAATTTTTTTATTGATGTGGGAGGTCCCAGGACACTATGAGCAGTGCTACCTGTGGTCACATGGTTCTGGATTGTGTAGGAATGCAAGCTGGGAAAGTCAGTAAACAGTATTCCTTTATGGCCTCAGCTTCAGTTCCTTCCTCTAGGTTCTTGTCTTTGCTTCCTGTTCTGACAGTCTTGAACAATGGACTACAAGCAGTAAATCAAGTAAATCCTTTTCTTTCCAGGTTACTGTTAGGGTCTGAGAGAAGCCCCCAAAGAAGACCAACAGCCATGCAATAGCAAAAGCACTTTATTAATTCCATCATTGGAGTGGCACTTGGTGACCCCCAAAGAAGGTCACAAGCTCCTTCTAAGCGAAGTTAGGGGAATTCCAGAGAGGAGGGATTAATCTGAGGCTGATTGGTGGAGGGAAGATTAGTATGGGGACTGATTGGTGGACGGTGCTCTGGTTAGTTATTAGGAGACTGGGAGGTGCCTGCTGAGCCAGCAAAGAGGCTTTGGGGGTCTGATGAGCCAGCAGAAGGGGCTCTGGGGTGCCTGCTGAGCTGGCAGAAGGCTGTGTTTTTTTCTGAGGATTGTTTGTTTAACTCTGTCCCATTTTAGTGAACCAAAACTAAGGCTTAGATTTCTGTCTGGCTACTAGGAGAGCCTGCTCTGCCCCTTCCCAGTTCACTCAGTTACATTTGGTCATTGTGTTAATAGTTTTATGTCAATGTGACAGAAACAACAGTCATCTGAGAGGAGGCAAGCACAATTTTAAAAATGCCACCAGGCGCTGGAGAGATGTCTTGGCTGTTAAGAGCACTGGCTGCTCTTCTAGAGGACCTGATTTCAACTCCCAGCACCCACATTTCCCCTCACAACTGTATGTAACTCCAGTTCTGACACCTCGACACTGATGCGCTTAAAATAAATTTAAATACATTATTTTAAAAAAATAAAGCACCTTTGAAAGATCAGGCTGTGGGCAAGTCTGGAGGCCATGTTCTTAATTAGTGACTGGTGGGGGAAGCCAGGCCCACGTGATGGTGCCATCCCTGAGCTGAAGCCCTTGGGTTCTATAAGAAAACTGACTGAGCAAACCACTAAGTATCACTCTTCCATGACTTCTGTGTCAGTTCCTGCCTCTAGTTTCTGCCCTGTTTGAGTTCCTGTTCTGACTTCCTTCATTGATGGACTGTGATGTGGAGATGACTTCCCTCAGTGATGGGTCGTTACCTGGAAGTGTAAGTGAAATAGGCCCCTTTCTCCCCAGGTTACTTTTGATCATGGCGTTTTGTCACAGCAGTAGTAACACCAATAGGACAGAAGTTAGTAACAGGATGGGGTAGACCACTATCTGACCATGTCATTTTGGGGAGGATTGTGAAAGTTCTTTGGAACTTTGGACTAGAAAAACCATCGAATATTGAGAGTTTAGCGAACTGTTCTGTAGGAGCTTGGAAGATAAGAATGTTGAGAGCAGTACAGATGATGGAGGTTTGGCTTGTGAAGTTTCAGAGGCAAGCAAAGACTCTACTGGGACTTTTTTTTGGGGAAGAATCTGTGGTGTCTGCTCATCTGTAGCCGAAGAATCAGCCATGATTAACATCAGACCAGAAACATTAAAATAAAACCTTTGCTTTGTTAGAATAATGAATGCTGGTTAGCTGGGGATGAAGAATTAGCTGTAATTAAAAAGAGACAGCATCACTGAAGTCTTCTGTGAAGTGTTTTGTTATTGTCAGCACACAGAAGATGTGTTCCAGAAGTGACCATAATTGTATCTTGTCCTGGAGCTGAACTTGTTTATATGAGTATCACAGGTGATACTGGTTTTGAAAGCATGAAGGGGTCATAGAAGCTTGGCCATGTGAGAGGCCATTGGTGAAGGTGGAGTTAGCAGTAGAAGCCCTAGAATTATTGAAAGGGTCATGGAAAAAAGCTGAGGCTTTGAACCAGAACCAGAACACAGAACCAGAAACATTATTGGTGAAACTACTGGTGGAAGTGCAATCCAGCTGCCACAGAAGACCCAGGCGTTTTGGAGAAGCCAATATCATGAGATGTCTGCCAAGAATAGCAGCAGCCATAGAGTGGAACCTGCCTATGTCTAGAAGACAAGCTTTGTGTATTGCAGAGGGTGGGGCCTGCGAAGTGCCCCAGGCCCTTTGGAGGTACCCAGAAGATCTGAGTGAATCCCAGATTTTATAAATTGAATGCTACACACTGTTTGGTTTGGTTTTGATCTGATTGTGATTATGCCCTGTTTCTTCCCTCTTCAAATGAGAAAGTATTTACCTTTTTTTATATTATTGAAACCCAAAATTGATATTTTGATTCTAAAAGAGACTTTGGATTAAAAAAACCCTGCATTTTAAAAAAAGTGGGACTTAACAAAATTTGTAAAACATTTATATGTAATGTTTCTATTCATGTGTGATTTGGGGGATGGTTGTGGCATTACAGTGATGTGTATGTGTCAAGTTGACAAGGGGTCAATTGTGCTGAGCAGTTTTATGACAACTTGACACAATAAAGTCATCTTAAAGGGATCCTCAGTCAGAAAAAAAATGCCTCCATAATATCAGGCTGTAGGCAAGCCTGGAGGTCATTTTCTTAATTAGTGATTGATTGGGGCGGGCCACTCCTGAGCTGGACATCCTGGGCTCTGTAAGAAAGCAGATAAAAAAGCAGGCTAAGCAAGTGACTAAGCAGCACTGATCATGGTTTCTGCACGAGCTCCTGCCTCCAGGTTTCTGCCCTGTTTGAGTTCCTGTCCTTGACTTCTTTAATTAATGGACTATGATGTATAAATTCTTAATTTAACCCATCTCTATTAATCTGTGCATCACCATGAGGTCGTGTCCTACTGACAAAGTTCTGGCAGGCTCTGGCAGGTATTTTTCTCCTTTGGCAACCATGTGGTGTCTCCTTGATCCTGCTTTCTTTCAGCATTTAGCTTAGTTTTTCTGCCTAGCTCTATTCTGCCCTTCTGTAGGACAAAGCAGTTTTATTCATTAACCAATAAAAGCAACACATATGCGGAAGAATTTCCCACACCACTGGGTATGGTTTTAAGAATCACACAATGGAAGCCCACATACAAAAGCATTTAGCAGTTTACTTGGATTGTGACAGGTACCTAGGAGAAAGGATAGATTACTATGTAGGGGGAAAACAGGGCACAGGAAGCTGTATGCAGCTCTGTGCTTTAGGCAGCAGCTAGATATTGCAGGCTTTATTCTTCTGTTAGTCACCTCTAAACTCCTGTCTACTGGCCATGGTCTCCTATCTTCTGTGCATACTACTTCATCACTCTTCATGACAGAATCTCATTATGTAGCCCTGGATGGTCTCAAACTCATAGATATCCTTTTGCGTCTGCTCCTAAGCACTGGTATCAAAGCTGTGTGTCATAACATACTGCTATTTTCATCACTCTTACCATCCATCAGGTTGGCATTTGCAGGCCCTGGTTTCTCTCCCTTTTCTTGTGTTTCTTGTCCCAAAGGCTTTCCCAGTAATGCATCTATGGGCAAAGAATCTTGGAAGGCCTGAGCACTACTCAGCAGGGGGCACAGGGAGCACGGTGTCCTATTCTTTTCTACACCTGGCTTCCTTTGGGGGTCCTCATGTGGATGTTAGCCTTTGGACACTGTCAAGTGTCACAACTGTGACTGTTTGCTGTTGCCACCCTCTTACAAAACTCCCTTTCCATTTTGGGTATATTCTTGTTTCCCTCTGGGGCCTTCTATTTTTGAATGCTTCAGCAACTGAGAAGTTTGTTGCTCCATGATACTATTGCTGCTCAGCTGTACCTATAAGAATGTTTTCCTGATTTGAAGATGGAATGAGACAGGGAAGAATAAAAAAGTGAATTAAGACAAAGACCTTGAACAGGGGTAAGAGGAGCAGGAGAAACTCCCCCCAACACAGTGGAGTAGAATTTCTCTGGCAAACTGCTCACTAGAAAGCATTCCATTAGCCAAGTGTACAACCCCAAATATTTCTGCAGCAGGTAGTCAATGCAGGTCTCTGGTACTTGGGCCATTCTGTGTGATGAATGCTGGATGGTGTCAAGCAGGCTAGTGGGAAAGGCCTCTGCTCTCCTTCCTTGAGTTGCTGAAGTATCTGTCTGGCAAGGGGTGTCATTTTTAAGGTTTATAAGGCAAGAGGGCAAAGCCACAGTCATTCTTTGCAGAAACATCTGGAGACACAAGACCCACAGCTGGACTCACAGTTAAAGGCAGTTTGAGTTCTGAACTGGAATGGATGTGCAAAAAGATAGTTTGACCTCCCTATATCTTCCCTAATTCTCTACTCCTTAATCTTGTTTTCCCTCCCATCTTTCCTTTCTTCCCCTTCTCCTTTCTGTTCTAGGAAGTGCATTGCATTCCCATCAGATAAATTGGATCCTTATGAGTGATTTTATTTCCACCTTATAACATTAACAAAATGGAAGAACTCAAATCAATTCATATCTTGTGTTGCTAGGTTTCTACTCTGGAAGGCCCTTAGACCACAAACTTGACTCCTCCCTTGGCTGAGTAGACTGAAGGTCACCATGGTTACATGATTACAACACTGGTGCTTGTTCCTCAAGGCAGACCTGGTTGACCACTTAGGTCATGCCTCCCAGTCTGGCAGTTTTTTCTTGAATGGAGTTTGTGAAGTACTGGCTGACAGATTCAAGAAGTGAGGCTGGAGGAGGATGAAGCTTGAAAGTAAGGGTGGGGATGCAGAGGCCTGAGTGGTGTTCATGCCCATTCAAGTGTGACTAGCAGATTGTTTCTCATCTAATTTTTCTCATAACATCTAGCAGATTTTTGTTTATTTTTTTATTGAGAAAAGGAAAAAAAAGAGTTTCCGCCTCCTCCCAGCCTCCCATTTCCCTCCCCCTCCTCCCACCCTTCTCCCCCTCCCCCCACTCCTCTCCCCCCTCCCTCTCCAGTCCAAAGAGCAGTCAGGGTTCCCTGCCCTGTGGAAAGTCCAAGGTCCTCCCCCCTTCGTCCATGTCTAGGAAGGTGAACGTCCAAACTGGCTAGGCTCCCACCAAGCCGGAACATGAAGTAGGATTAA